GTAGTTGCGATTTCCTTAATGTAGTTGCGCTTTGCTTTATGTAGTTGCGATTTCCTTAATGTAGTTGCGCTTTTAGATTTGTAGTTGCAGTTTGCACTTCAGTGCCACCGTAGGAATTCTGAGATTAAAAGTCAGAATTCTGAGAAAAAAATCAGAATTCTGACTTTTTTCCTATGTTAAACTGAAATAAAATTTAAAAATCAATTAGTTTTTTTTTTTTCCAGTGGCCCTAATCCTCTACCGTATAAAAAGCCCATTTATGCTCTAGTATTTTCTTCCTTCGAGGCCATTCTTGTAAACCATCAAAATGAAATGATCATGTTAAGATAAAAAGTTGAATCAATCCAGATTTGTTTGCTAATTAAAAAGTAAACAAAATGTCTAAAACCAAGTGTGCTTATCCCAATGGTGTATCTATTGAGTGTTATAGTAATTTGGGTGAAATGGAACTTAAATTTAAAATAAAATTCAGCTAGGGACCTCTATAGAATCTTGGGTTGGCCCTGTTGAAGTCAAAATAAATAAATAAATCCTCCTCGCTTGTAAACACAAAGCAGTTGTATATTAGATATTTGCATTTACTAAAGTTTTCACAGGTCATCTGAGCTACTTTGCCAAAACGGACGCCGAGGCTCCACCTAAAAATCTCAACATGGCTGAAGTTTGCAGTCAGCAGATCGAGAATATTCTGAAAGGTTTGTTATCCCATGCTTACTTTCCTCTCTTCCTCCATTACACGGACTTGGCTGCGTTCTGGGTGCTGATCAAGCTGCTGCTCCCGCGCGTAAATGGAAAGCTTTTACGCACCGCTCGTATTCACTTTAAAGGATGTTTAATCGCTGATTTTTTCTTTTATTTTTTTATTTTTTTGCCTGCACCATACCTCGCCTGGTAGTTAAGTGGGACTTCAGCTCTGGTGATGTGAGGGATGGATGCGGTAATACCTCACAGAGCTGACACCAGAGGGTGGGGGGTAAAAAGCGAGGCGTGCGTCACTGGCAACTAAACGCCAGAGGGACAGAGACATCAATAACATCGCGTTCATCAATAAGGAATCTGGATGGAGTTAGACTGCTTAATTAAATAGGCTGCTCTCTGAATTTGTATACTTTAATCTGATGACCCCCAAAGGAGAACATCCGAGGGAAGACTCTTCAGCACCTCCATCAGCGGGACAACTTAGACTCCAACCGCTCAGCGATGGCTATCAACACTGATGCAGCCTTCGAGAAGAGTGGCCTGGGTGAGAGGGAAGTCTCCAACCCTACCGACTTCCAGGACACCGAGAAGCTGCTGAGCAAAGCCCCCACCGAGCCCACCGGGGAGAGCAACCTTAAACCATCCGACTCCTTTTCTCTGAACACCAGAGGCAGCGTCCGCTCCCTGAACGCGGAGCAAAACGGACACAGATCCCCGCTAAAGTCAGGCTCTTTCGGGCAGCTGACGGCCCCACCCAGGTCTACTTCCAGGCTCAGCCTGGGTCAGCTCTCCTCCCCGGTGCCACAGGGCTCCACGCCCCCGAGTTACCTCTGGCTGGCCATCCTGTCCTGCTTCTGCCCCGCGGTGCCGCTCAACATCTGTGCCTTGTGGTATGCAAGTGTGGTGAGTTTACAGTTTTTTTGTGACTCTCTATCAGTTTATTATACTTGTATTAGAACCACAGTTGGTTTTCCTCCAGGTCTGCATTTAAATAAGTAATGATTCATGTGTTTTCATTTCCCATCAGTCGAGGTCAGTTCTCCACACTGGAGACATTGAAGGAGCAAGAAAGTATGGGCGTTTATCCATGCTGCTCAGCGCTCTGGCAATGCTGCTGGGTGTGGCTGTAATCCTCTTCATAGTGTTTAACTTTGGTATGGGAGACAAGCATCCAACACGCATATAAAATGCAGAATCAGTATAGGTTGATATCAATGTGTGATATTTTTTTCTATTTCTCTCAGAGACCCAAAAAAACTGAATCCAGGCGAATGGAAAGAGCTTCCTTTAACTACACCAGATCCCACATTTGCACAAAGGAAAGAGGATCTCAGATTGATGAAGACTGAAGAATCACAAGCACAACATAGGAGCTGGAAAAAAAGTCTGAAGGAATTCCAATGTGCACTTTTTTTTTTTTTTTGATTTTCTGCTATGGACCAAAAATGAAAAGAGTATGAAGAAAACATGGTTTACGTCATGTATCCTTTTCAGGAAACAGTCCTGCTTGATAATCCCACAAACTCAGGAATAAAGGGATATGTTGAGAAAGGGCAAACCCTTCCAGATACAAAACTAGTGGGACTTTGAGGTAAATAAGAGCTAAGGTAGGGATGTAAGGACTACCATAAAAAAAAGTGTGAAATGGAGATTGAAGCGATAGAAAGAAAAAGACAGAATGCAACACCTGCCTGCTCTGTTTTACAAAGACTGACTGAACTTATATGGCTGAGGGGGAAAAAAAAATATCTGTTTACAATAAGTTTAAAATGGAGATGCACCGATCAGGATTATATATATATATATTTTTGGCTATTATGATTTCCCAGTGTCCTTTGGGGTCTAATCGCCTGATACTAGACTTTGTGCTGCACTAGTTGTGGATTTGACCCTTTTATTTACCATAAACGCCCTAAAATGAATCACATGCTGTTGATTTGGTGCATTCAAAGCCTTTTCACCTTGGATATACTATCATTTTTTAAGTACTCATAATCCATGGGAGAAGGATATACTCATCTGATTACATATGCAAAAAAATTATTGACTTTTTAATGGAGGAGGAGACCTATAGATCTGAATTTATTTTTAAAGGAATACTATGGTTTGTTTTTGGGGGTATTGCTGTTGTTTTTTTTTTTTTTTTTCATTTTATTGTTCCAAAAAAAGAAAGATTTAGTGCTCTATTTAGCAAAGTTTAACAAACAGCTGCTCCAAAGTGTGCCTTTGAGTAATTGTGAGAAGGTTAAAAATTATAATCAAAAAGCATTATTAACCAAATATAAGTTAAGATTGTAATTTCAGTTAAAAACTTCTTGAAATGACTCCCCCAGCAGCTGTCTGGGCAGGTTGGAAGCATTGATTTGAACTGAAGGGGCCACAAAATCATTCAGACGGCTGCCAATGACCCCAGGGGCCGTGCTTTGGACACTCCTGGTTAAACGTGTGAAAACTTTCCCGTATTCGATCCGCTCATCACGAGAAAAAAAAAAAGTCTGATTTAGATGTATAGCTGATTGTTGTGGTGCATCTCTAGTTTAAAGCACATTTATCAACCTCTCTGCTCTTATGGTGTGATGCTCTGCTTTTGCGTGCTAACTTGATCAATTGTACCAATTCCTGGTTGGCTTCCACTTAGCTGTGTAGATGTTTACAATACACGATAAACAATGAAACAGGGCGTTTCCCTTTATATGCACTGATGTCGGCACTCTGATGTTCATGTTTATACATTCATACTGTATGACTGGTTTTTCTGTGCCATAGTTTTTGCATGGCTGAAATAAACTTGACTGAGCATGACCCATTTGAAAGCTCACCACCTTTTAATTAACAAAATCGTACATCAACAGTACGGCATCCCAGTAAAATCTCTTTATGCATTTATAATGTTCACCTTACAAGAAAATAAGCAGCAATGTACAAATTAAACATAACTTTTATGGGGTTACAATACAGTAAAGCGTATAGATCTCTTGGCAACACTCAATTTGAGTTACAGACAATAATTTAGTGGAAAGTGTAGAGCAAAAGTAGAATGGTGCAGATGCCAATCACTCCACCTAGGATTAAAGAGTCCCTCCTCTTTCGCAAATTGATTTTCTGGATGAGGCTGTTGATAGCAGGGAAACGATCTGAGGGGAGGGAACCAGTGAAGGGAAAATAATTAAGATATGAGCCAAGCCTGCTTTCCTTGCAGTAAGTAAGAGACGAATAGCGGCAGGCCGAAAAACAAGCCCATTAGTCGGACTCCTAACATACTCATGTAATAAATAATGAAAAAAAGTATAAAGGAGTCAAAATGATACAGTTATTGCAGAAATGCTGAGAGGACAAAGATCTAAAAAAAGTGTAAATCCAACAGTGAGAGAAAAGCAGAATCGATTTCAGAGCTGAAAGGATACTGGCCAAAGTTGTGACCCTTGTTTGAATGGACTTCAGCATCCCACGCTGAAATGTGATGTTCTCCTTTGTAGCCATGGCGATGCTGGAGGAAGAGAAAGCATGATGGATCAGCAGCAGAAATGGAGAAATATATCTGCCTCTGCCAGATCATATTACACGGCATTTACGGTCTCGGCTAATGAGCTAAAAAGTTAGAAAGTCGGCTTTAATCGACCAGAAGGAGCTGGGATTCCTCGTGATGTGTGGGAGTAAAGGGAGAGAAGAGGGGGAGGGAGGAGTGGATGGAGCAATAAAGCTTACCTTATTGCATTGTCGATGAGACTATTTGAGCTGTGAACGAAAAGAGAAACCAGATTAAAAAGTCGAGCTCTATCGGACAAGTTAAAGACAAAGTGCTTATGTGTAAAATGACCCGCTGAGAGGTTTAAAAAAAAAAAAAAAACTTTAGAGAGAGACAGAACTGGCACTGAATAAACTAAAACATATAGAAAAAGTCAATCTCTAGTTACAAAACCTCACCTGTTAATAAAATGTCTGTTTTTTAAATGATATAATACTTAATTCTCTCTACACTTCTTCTATCAACTTAGTTTTTCTTTCTATTCTTCAGGCATCTTTGGATTCTCTCATCTCTCTCTGTTAGATTCTGGTAAACCGATCTTCTCTTCAGGTCTGCCCACAGTTGAAGAAGGCTGATATTGTCCGATAATTAGCTTCTGTTTTGGTTCTGGGTCCACAATATTACATTTTTTTAACCTCTGTTTCTTTACATATTTAAAGTCAGAGAAACACGAGACTTTACTCTTTTCATTTTCTTTCATGTTCCATCTTTTGCAAACGAGCGATAACTTGTAAAAGAAAAAATACTCTGGCAATCATCGCTCCCATTGGATAAAATGGGGAAACCAGCGTATATTATCACCCTATTTGCAAAGAAAATTAAAAAAAAGGGTTTTGGTATTTTCTCCTGTAGAAAAGGTTCAGACCAAGGGGGAATGTAACCCTTCCAAATTTGGAATGAATTTAATTATGCTTCAGTAGCACTTAATTCAAGGGATTGTAGCATAATTATGGCAATGGTGATTTAAAATAATTAAAACACAATATTAAATTTACTTAAAAATGCAGTCTCCAAAAATATAACAGTTTGAGGTTATATTACTGCAATAATCGTTTAAAATATGTTAATTTTAATTTCAACACGTGCTAATCTGGGGTGCTGGAATCTGTCGCTGCTACTGCACTGCGAAAACGATCTCAAAATGAGTAAAACTGTCTTAAATTAAGTCTATTTACCCTTAATTTGAGCAGGTAAATAAGATGATTTGCCAATGGAATGAGTTTTTTTACTCTTAAAATAAGCTATCTAGATATTATGCACTTGGAATAAGACAATGCAATTTTTTTTTTCTTGTTTAAAGTGTAAATCGTCTTGTTCCATTGGCAAAGTGTCTCACTCCAAACCTTAATTCAAGAAAAAATTTACTCATTTTAAGAAAAAATTACTTAGATTTTATTTTTTTGCAATGTGTGGAGATGAGATGAAGATTTATTTTTTTAAAAAGCCTCTTTCAGAATCCTGTAAAGTGAGCATCAATTATTCTGTGCAACATTTTTTCACTGGACACATTTACATATTAGAGCACAGGCCTCTTTCTAGTTTGCTTTAGATGCAAGTAAGGATACCAGGCGTATATAAGAAAGACGGCGAACTTGAACGCACACATCAGTGCTTCAGCAGGCAGCCATTAGCAGCCCGGATAAGTGACGGATAGAAAAATGAAGTGTTCGGTCCAGAGCTGAAAGAGCAGAGAAAGGCAGCAGTGTGCATCCTGTCAGACTCCACTGGAGACCAAAAATCAATACAGAGCTTTATATTTTCTCCATCTATCTGTCTCCTACTGTCTATTCACTGCTGTCCTCCGCCTTTTCTGCTAAGCCTACATTAGCTGGCACAGAGTTCTGCTTTTAACATGATCCAATTTTTGCTTATATTCTGGAGAACAAAAACCACTCTACACACTTTAGCAAAAAGTAGATCAGAGTGAAGCCTGGTCTCAGGCATCAAATGAGCATAAATATATATGAAAAAAAAAACACTATCTCTAGGTTGACTGTGCAAAAACAGAGAAAAACTTGAAAGATTTAATTCTGTCATGTAGTCAGTCCAAAAAGTTATGAATTATTTAGTTAAAAAAGAAATAGACATGCAAATATTCCTCTCTTGAAATGACACAACCCTACATGACCAAAGAACTCCATATCCCTTTATGCACATGTCTGGCAGGTTGCAGCTCTATTATAATTGCATTAGGCTAAATGGGTGTGAGGCAAAGTGGAAACCAGTGTCAGTATCCATCTGCACCCTGCATGGTAACAGCAGGCAACGTACCTGCTTTATAAAATCATCAAGTTTCACGTTCCACAAAAATGATGTTGGTGCAGTTTAAAGATTCCAACATGCTTTATTGTTAGCTTTGTTTTGTTACCTTTCATATGAACTGCATAGTTTTATCCTCATATGCATGACCAATGGATGAAAGGGTCTTCTAGTTACACATAAATATTAAATGCTACACTGATAAAAATGTTCTGATCTGCATAGCTGCTGAAAATATGGCAGGAGGAGCTTTTATAAGCAACATTGAGTCTCAAATAATTACAGTCACAGCTTAATCAATCAGAATATCATCAGAAAGTTAATCTATGTTTGCAATTCAAATAAAAAAAAAGCTGAACTTATGAACTTGGGTTTTATTGTCATATATCTAGGATGCATTTCTGCTCATTAAGAGTCAAAATTCAACTTCTCGACTGAATATTACATAAGAGCAAAAACAGAAATAAATTTAAAAAATCCTTTTGTATTCATTTATTCCATGTCGGTGGCTCTCTGCTAAGTAAGCAGTATGCCCGGCTATCATGTAGTTCATAACATATAAATGTACTATTATTAATCTCACATTGGAGA